TGTCCGACAGGCTATAAGAAGTTTTTATAAATAAGTGAGACATTCAGTTATGTCTGAAACAGTACACCAAGTATTGCAGTAACATAACTCTTAAATCAGCTAAAATATTATTTTTCCAGTTTTCGAAACATAAAATTATTATAGACCAAATATTATTTTGTGTTTCTAAACTTTACACTAGTTTAAATGTGTCTGCTAGTAAGAAATATATTTTCGCAAAATGATTTGAATCAAAAGAATATAAAAAATATAAAAAATCATTTTAATTCTTAGATTTTGCACAAAAAAAAAATTTTTTTGTAGAAAAAAATATATTTTATTTTAATTTTAATGTTTGCAATGTTTTATCTAAATCATTACTTCCCATTACGCTTGAGTGAAAAATAAATTTTAAATTAAACGTAAATAAGAAAGCATAAAAGCTCTTTATTCCTACGATAAAATTTGTATTTTCATATCATTTTTGAATTTTTCTTACTTAAATATTAACTTATTGTGATGTCATTACAGACATTACACATTTCCTAGTTTTTAAATTTCTTAATCCTGTTATAATTAAATTAAATCAACTATTTAATTTTTATCACATTTTTAAAAAAGCGAATAAGAATACTTTTATTCTTTTCTCAACAAACAGTGTAACGGATAACTTTTTAATTCAACTTCAACGCAAGTGTATAACTCTTTAATTCAACTCCGCAATTAATCAAATATCAAAATCGATAATTAACTTTATATTTTTAGCTACTTTTATTTTTTTGACTACACAAATGTTTGGTTACATGGTTATATTAAACTCTAACAGTCTTTTGGTGATTAAGCTGTAGACAGATTATTTGAAATTTAATATTAATAAACTCTAAGCTTGGTTTGCTTTATATTTGGCTATATCATCTATCGATAACTCGCCAAATTTTGGATCTCTTCTCATGCTAAGTCTCCGTTAGCAATTCGCTGGAATTTTAAGTTCTTGGCGTTAAGACTCAGGGCTAAAGAGAATAGAAGGGCTAGTTCACTCCGCTCATAGAGCTGAAGCTACGATTTCCCTCCTCATGACGTCACTGTGTCTACAGATCTCGGAGATCGCAAGCAAAGATATGATAACTTTGCATCTTTCTCTTGTAAAAATAAGTTAGACTTTTTCTGGTTATTAGCCTTCAAACTTTACGTAATTAACACATTATTTCCGTTCATAAACATAGTTCAAAAAAAACTTTCTTGGTTATTATATTAAAAAAATACCATTTTAAACTTATAAAAATGTTTTGCTAGTTGGTGAAAATGACACGATAAATACTTTATTTTAAAAAGTTCAGTTTTAACTTTAACTATTAAGAAAAATGAAGGCATATATCGACACTTTTTTTATCTACATATTCTTTTATAAAGATAAGTTAAGTTAAATTTAGAATCCCTGATTTTAAAATATGTCGTTAATAGCAATTTGTTCATACTTAATCATTAGGAAACATCAACCTTAAACGCTAATTACTGAAACAAAATAATAATTTAGGTTCATAATGACATTAGAAATTTTACAATTGTTTATAGATATTTAAATTTACGATGATATAATTTATAGATATTTAAATTTAAGAGAAGATAATTTTTTAAAAAAATCATAAATATTAAGAATAACTACATTAAAAAATATGTTAGAGAATTCCAACTATATACTATATATTTTATTTATGCTTTTTATTTACATTTTAATATTTTTTGACTTTATCCATTTTTTTCACCTGCTTTTCTTTTTGAAGTAACGAGGCGGTTTCTATTTAGATAATGTAACGAGGCGGTTTCTATTTAGATAATGAATTTTTATAAAAGTTCTTAACGACGGGATAAACGTATTGCTGTTTTATATTAAGTGTGTCATTTCGGAAACCATTCTTCACATAGTTGTTCATTTACTTTAGGGAACACGCGGAAAATTATATTTTTTCCATTTGTTTTTCTATCAAAATTTTTTCAAGTTGCAATCGCGCAAACTGGCATTTCGATAATAGTTTTAAATTCTTGTAAATTCACTGCAAAAACTGAGGAAAGTCATTATAGAAAATAACAAATGTCTTAGAATATCTCGCAAAAAGAAATGCTCCAATATTAGTTAGAGCTAGTAAGGCCGAACACTCCGTGTTTGAAGTAAAAGTGCGAGCTTTGCGCCAAAGGGACGTCACTAGAGAAAATCGGAGGATTGGGGTGGCGAGAGCTACTTCAAAGGAGTGAACCAGCCCTTCTATTCTCTTTAGCCCTGGTTAAGACTGGGGATTTTTTTATATATCCAATATATCTCAGTCCGACAGTTGAAAGGTTACAAAATTGTAATATAAAGATGAATACCTATATAAAGAAAGCGCCTTCGTCTCTGTGAAAGATAAGCTTAATATTTTATTTTGTTAATATAATACGTTTTTTTTTTCAAATCAAAAGTGTGGCAATATTTGTTAATTTTAAAAATGCTTTTGATCGTATCTCAGGTATATTCCTGTTTTAGTACAAAGACAAAGTACAAGAATTTTCACTTTTATTTAACGGCAATGATACTTATGACCCCTACTGTGCGCAAAATTTCGCTATTTGTTACAATAATTCTAAAAAGCTATATCAAAACATCTTATATTCTTCAATTTGAACACTTAAGAAAGCTTTAATATAGAAAAGTATTAAATATAAAAGCCCCACACTTAAGATAAAATTACTTCAAAAAAATTTTAACAATCACTAAAAAGTCTCCGACTCTCGAAATAGATTTTTTTTCTTTTATCATTAACACCACAATTTTGTTTCCTATTTTTTGTTCACAAATTTTAATGTTGAAACTTGAATTAGTTGTAATTTAAATTTTGATTAGATCGCAGAAATATTTTTATTAAAATAAATTCTTTTGTAATTTATCTCATCCATTATTTTGAAAGTACAGTTTTAAATACAGCCTAAAATGCTTTGAATTTAATCTGATATAAAAAATTGTATGGAAAGCCCAAATAATAAAAATTTGCTTTCAAACTTGTTACCCCGGGCTTTGTTCATCGCTTTAAATGTCATTTCATTATCTGAATGAAGAAAACCCTAACTTTTCATTAAAACGTTCATTCTTTTCTGTGATTTTTCTAATTTATTATTATTCTTAAATAGAAATAAACAGAAGAATCGCAAAACGGAAATCTTCCTTAAGCTTTAAGTTTCAAGTCTATCATGCACCTGCTTCATTTGAATAAAGTTAAATAAACATTTCATAGCTTCCGTACTGACAATTCTTATTTCAAAGAAAAACCCTCAGATTAAATTGAAATCTTTTTTTTTGTGTGTAAAAAGGTAACTTCTTCTTCTAGTATCTCTATTAACGATTGTTTACATTGAGTCTCTTTGAGTCTTTTCACATTTGAAAGACAAGTCATTCTTCATACTGAATACAAATAAAGTCCTTAAGAACGTGGAACTTACACGGGGTCAATATTAGCATTTCTCTTTTATAAACAGGAAGAGAAAGAGAATATTTTTCAAAATAAAATAGCTTTTTACTTTTGGGAAAAGTTTATGTTAATATACATCAAAACAAAAAAGTTTAATAAAAAATAACATGTAAATATTTATTTACCACTTTTTGGCAAAACATGATAATTGGAATTATATCCATATTTATATAAATATAGCAGACTTTCGAATGCCGGCCAAACATTGAAACATGAAACAAAACGACATTCTCGATCAGTTGTATTAATCTCAATTAATATTGTGGCAATAACGGTCGACAGTGCGTATAATGTATTTTCTTTTCTTTTACATAAATTAAGACCCCAAAATGTTAAAACCCAGAGAAAACTGTAATTAAAGTAAAGAACAGAGGGGTAGAGTATATGTATATATATATATATGTATAT